TCAGAGAGAGAGAGAGAGAGAGAGAGAGATAGATATGATTAACCAGTGATAGATAGATAGATAGATAGGTATGAACAGATTGAGATACATAGATAGATTGATTGATAGATAGATATGAATAGACTGATAGATAGAAAGATATATATGAATAGACTGAGATAGATAGATAGATAGATAGATAGATAGATATAAATAGACAAACATAGATGAATAGATTAAACTGAAATAGATATATAGCTAGACAAGTAGATATGAATAGAATAAGCCAACTAGATAGATGAATAGATAGACTGTGATAGATAGATAGATAGATAGACAGACAGACAGATATGGATAGATAGATATGAATAGAATGAGATAGATAGATAGATAGATAGATAGATAGATAGATAGATAGATAGATATGAATAGATTAAGATAGATGAATAGTTTAAACTGAAATAGATAGATATATTGGCAGACAAGTAGATATGAATAGAATAATCCAACTAGATAGATAGATAGATAGATAGATATGAACAGATTGCTATAGATAGATAGATAGATCTGAATAGACTTAGATAGATAGATAGATAGATAGATAGATAGATAGATAGATAGATAGATATGAATACCCAGAGATATATATTAATAAAATGAAAGGCATGCATCTCACTGATATATATAAATAGATAGCTAGAAATAAATAGGCCGAGACAACGTTATGAATCCCATCTACAATGGACAACCTGGTACTCAAGGCGGTGTATTGGTTAAAAAATGCTTGCCTCATTAAAACAATTATCACTGACAGGTAAGTTCGATCCTCACTGCTGCCTTGTACCACATCTAAGGTACGCTTGGAAAATCCCTGTATATGAACAATCTGAAACAAGACAATCGTGAATTTCACTAAGATATATTGATAGATAAACTATGGTCTGTTACTCGTTTTCCGGTGACACCTGTCTGGATTTGCGCCTAGTTAATCTCTGTTGCAGCCACCTACCCAGGCACATTTACGTTTGTTCACCACCTACACAGTCCACCTGGGTTTTATACTGAATGATAAGATGAGTGTCAACATGAGAATATCAAGTTTTGTAAGCTTGGATGTGCGGATGGTGTAATGATAAAAGCTTTGCAATTAGAAGTCAGAGAGGCGAGTTCGGTTTGAATTACAGGCGCAAATTTCTTTGGTAAATGTATGAATCGACTTTTTCTCCATCCCACCTATGGGTTAAACTTGTACCTGAAAGTCAATATTTTCTGCAAATATTGTTAATACAATATTCAACCACCCCGCCCCCATTCTTACAACCTCCAAAATATGTTTCGATTATGAATAAAATATCTTTAATAGAGGGAAAGATTAATTTGTTTTTGAAAGTCCTTAAGTGATGTGGTTTCTGTTATTTGGTACAGTTCTTTGTTTGTGATTGTGTAGCACCAGTTCAATGAACGATGGTCTTTGTTAAGACCAACAGGCATCTCTCAAAGCATTTTTAACCACTGATCTTAGGAATCTGACACTTTAGATATTTCTTGATTCTGTGATTAATTTTCTCTTCCAGTGTCATATGCTATCCATTTTAGTTGATGCTGCTGTTGGTAGTCCCCAAGTGATGCGGCTTCTGCTATTTCGCACAGTTCTTTGTGATTGTGTAGTGCCAATTCACAAAGTTCGGAGAAGGATGATTTTCACCAAGATCCACAGGCATAACTCGGTCAAAGCCATTTTTAACCATTTTCTACACCACTTGTGACCCGTTGGCTCAAACGTGTTGTGTTTTCTGATTACATTTAGTTTCATGAAGAGTTGGTGAAAGTAGAGATATTTTAAAAATACATTTATTTGCAGTTATTGAAGTTGCTTTCAACATAAAAATGTCTGTTTAAAAAAAGTTGAACATTAAGAGCTTGGAATATCAAAATTCGGATTGTCAGTATTCGATACAATAACAAAATAGTTGCGACGCTGCGCGCAATTCAATCGTTTAGAATAATCAAACGATTTTCATTGAAAGAATAAAATTCAGGAGAAAAGACAACGTAATTTCAACAAATGAACATTAATTTAATGTAACGACAAGAATGCAAGCAATTGGTCATAGATTGCGAAGTAATGTCTTTTATTTTAGGTTAATAAAATTCTTAAATAAAATATAAGTTATCTTACAAACACTGACATTTTGTTATATGTGTGTTTGTGTGAAAAAGTCAACAAGTGGTTCACAGTAAAGAGTATACAAGAGATACAGTTTGTCTCGTACTGTGGAGGGTATTGTCATAGTCTGAAGCGGTTTCTTTGAAGTTTGCCAGCGCTGTCGCTTTTAGCATGAGGTCCTGAAGTTCGCAAGCGATATTGGCGTGGACCTTGATGACAGCTGTGTGTATCCTGTTTGGTGTAGGATTTCGTGTTTTATAAACTTTCTCGTAAAAAAATCGGCTCCATCCCCTACATCCTACGCGATAATAAATTTACATCTTTCTTTTCCCCACTCTCTATATATGACATATTTATATCTTTCTTTTCCCCACTCTCTATATATGACTTCTGGTAAACACACAAGATACAAAGTTCACAGAGTTTTATATAGTAATAAGATCCTAAAGAGTTTTGTATACAGCTAACAGTTTCTGAAGGGTCTTGGCTCCGTGCATATGAAAGCCTCAATATAAGAAAAATCTGATAAATAAAACTAGAGATTAAATATATCTCAGCCTAAAATTTAGTTGAATGTTTTGGTAATACAAGTGCTGCTAATTAACCTATAGGTTGGGAAATGTATGACACTACTTCTACGTCCCCATATATGGGTTAATTAGTAACACTTGTATCACAAAGCCATTATTATTTCCCACCCCAATTTTCTTGTAATCTAAAAATATTTTCTGTGTTTAAAAAACCTGCTGATAAGCCGTAGAAAACGAATCAATCATTATAGAAACATAAGCTGACGTAAAAATAAAAAAAAATGAAGCTTATTTTTCAAATGACAAAATTTTCAGGCTTACGGCCATATCATATTGAAACAATGGTTCCTGTACGATCGAAGCCTAGATGGGTAACCGTTTAGAAATACCAGGTGTTGTAAACTTAGGTGTAGAATTGGTGTAATGGATAATGGCTCAGAAGTGCTAATCAGAGAGCCGAGTTCCAATTCCAGTTGGGTTCGTTATATATAACTTAGGCGTATGCTATTAAGAAAGATATGAATGCACCGCTTATCCCTCCAGCTATGGGTTAATTAGTTCGACTTGTATCACTACATCATTATTATCTTATCTTTTTAAATGTCACAAATTTTGTACATGTTTCTAAAACGTTTCTTGTATTCTAGATTACGGCCATATCACATTGAAACATCGGTTCACGTAAGATCACCAAAGTTAAGCAAAGTCGAGACTGGTCAGTACTTAGATATTGGGAATTCCATGCGCTTTATGCTTAGATTTAAGGGAGAGTTGAGTTCTAATTCCAGATGGAATCATTATATTCACTGACGAACAAATACTCTTAGAAAAAGGTATCAATCCACCTGTTTTACCCCCTATCTAGGGGTTAAATAGTAGGACGTGTTTCGCTAAAATTATTAGGATCTTTCGAAAAAAATAAAATTGTCTATAAAATCTTAAGATTTCTGTATTAACTAATCCATAGAGTCTGAACTGCCGCTAAACAAAAACAGAACAAACCATCCTTCATGGAGATCTCACTACAACCAGGTATATGGAATCTCCTTTGATTCGAAGTTTAAACACATATCTTTCTTTTAAGATAAATAAGATATGATTCACCGATTTCTGGTGAGGGAAAAAAAAATAAAAATGCCAAGACGAAACTATTCCATTTATAGAATTGTATCCGTGGCTCTGTAAACGCGAACTCTAGAGAAGATATTAATTATACATGACAGATATACACTGCGTTTGTAAGTACAAGAAATTGTCTCCCTAAAACGGATGTGCCACGTCACGTAGGAAGAGTAAATTAATTACAGGCGGACCCCTGTGAGCGAAACGTGGTGATAGGCGTGGATTTAACCGAGAGTGACAAGCCTCCAAGAATAAATCCGATTGTCTGGAACGTTCTCAATTGGTTTTCCGTCTAAACTGACCCTTCCCACCTAACTAAAGGTAATGGATTTATGACTAAACTGCTAAAGCGCGCTCACACACACACAAACATATGTACATATATAGAGAGAGATATAATTATAGTTTTAAAATTTTAATGTATATATATACATCACTCTGCCTTTTCTTTCTACCTATTTCTGTCTTTCTCTACATATATATGTATATATATATATATATATATAATTATTTTTCAAAAAATATGATTTCATCGCTACATAGAAATTACCATGTTTCAAAAACAGAAGCTAAAATCTTCCAATTCAATTATGGAAATAAAATTAAATTAAATTACTTACAACTGTTTCATCCTCATTTTGGAATAACTAATTTTGAAATTTACGGAGATTCATAATACACACGCTTATAAAGCTCCGTAAATTTAGTTAAAATTGAAATTTATATATATATATATATATATATATATATATATATTGGCCACTAATATATATATATATATATATATATATATATATATATATATATATATATATATATATATAGGTTTTACATTCAACATCACTTGAGAAGACACTGGAGGTGTTGAAACAAAATGGCTATTTTTGTAGTGATTTATAACATTTATATTATAATTTTAAATAAATAATTATATCTGCTCAACACTGTATTGAGCACTCTTTTAAGAATAGTAATTGTTGGTTATTGGAATTCATTCCATATACACCAATCATATACTTGGGTATATATATATATATATATATATATATATATATATAAGACAAAAGATTTCGTGTGACGCGGTTTGTCATTTAGGATTTGTGTTCAAAACTGTAGACAGAACTCCAATTATCTTTTATTCACGGTTAAACAAAGCGTTTATAATATATATATATATATACTCAATGAATTTACACGATTGCCTGTTATAACTGTCACGAAAAATACAAAGGAGAAACGTCAAGGAATCTAAATAAATATTAATGCATCTAAACATAAAAATAATGTTCAGCTCCATAAATTTCAACAAAAAGTTAAAATTCGGACAGAACTTATGGGATATATATATAGTTTTTTTTTTTTACTTGTGTGTGTGTGTGTGTGTGTGTGTGTGTGTGTGTGTGTGTGTGTTCCTGTACGTTTATATATTGGATCGGATATCCTACATTTTTCAACCGATTTCAACAAAACTTCACAGGACTACGTAAAATTACCTTGCGGTGGTTCTGACAGCGCCAAAAATTGGAAAAACACAATTGTTTTTGCACGAAATCGATTTGAAAACACGATTAAGAGGCATCACGAGAATGAAAGGGCGACAACTAATATCAAGTTATACTTATTATAAAACCCAGGTTGTGTGTGTGTGTGTGTGTGTGTGTGTGTGTGTGTGTGTTCGTTTATATATGGGATCGGATTTTCTATATTTTTCAACCGATTTCAACAAAATTTCACTTTTTTGGCAGGTAGTGTTTCTTATTGTCTTGCACACTTTTTTTTTTTTTTTAAATACAGAACGCTTTAAAAATTCCATTTACAAGACAATTGATTATAATAAAATTCTATTCAATCGGTAG